GGTGCACTGTCTATAAGGTGCGCCATTACTAGTTAGAACTAGTAATGGCGCACTTTGACATCATGCGCCATTAGTATGTATGGAAAAATGAAAAAAAAAATCAATACTAGTGACACACCGTGTGTCTGGTGCGCCATTAGTGTCTTCCACACTAATGGCGCACCTCCAACCGGTGCGCCATTAGTATATAGTAGTGGCGCACTACTTACCTGATGCGCCATTAGTATCAATCCTATCTATAGCCTTTTTCCTAGTAGTGGACAATGCCATATTACAACAAAAATACTAAAAAGATAGCAAAATGAAAGTAACATGTTATGATTACCTCAAATAATAACCAAATTCGACTGACTCCATCAACAACAATACTACTTCAGTGCTTCAGAAAAAGATTCTTCGGGCGTTTCTTGATGCAAAGTCATTAAGGGGACAATCAAGATCAACATTGTCCAAGATATCCTTCTCAATGCAGCACATAGCCAAGCCATTCAATCTATCTTGCAACATAGTTGTCATCAACTATTTTTTCACTAGTTTCAGTTTAGAGAAACTTCTTTCAGCTGAGGCTACAGTCACATGCACTGTTAAGAGGACCCCGTATGCAACAGAGACATTTGGAAAAGCCATGCCTCGCATCTGGCATGAATCATGCCGCGTGACGCTTCGCTAATCGCTAGCTATCAGATGGGCCAAGCCCATCTTGTTTCTTTTCTTCCGTAAAATTTTTTCCACCTGTTTTTCGTTGGGCTAGACTATATATGTATACTACATCCTGGACCCCCTTCCAGCCTGGGCCTTGGGCCGTCACCCCACCGGCAATACACATCAGGGCCGGCCCTGGACCTATTTAGAAACATGACATGTTATTCAGAAATAAAAGGTTGTTCTTCTTCTTCATAAGGGGAGCCATATACAGATGTAATTGCAATGGCAAAGTCATTCTGTTCCAGTAACAAAGAAGGTTATGATCTTCGAGCTAATTGTTTCTAACACATCAATATTCACTCAAAAAGAAAAATGAACACTCGAGTCAAAATACCACATTTTAATCTTCCTAGGGATCTCCAGGTTTTGCTGCATGGGGAGGTTTTTTTGCTTTGTCCATTGTACACGTTTTATGTCAATTCTTGTGCTTTGTCTTGTGGGCCCAACCACCGACCCTTCATATCTTCGGTTTTTTATTCCATCACTTTCAAAGCACCAACTCCAAAATTGTCCCACTAAGCTCAAGTTTGTGTGCTTCAATCTAGCGTATCAAAGTCAGACCCGCACGAAGAGAGCTCGAGCGTTCAAACCTATACCTAATAATGAAGGGGCTATTGCTTCTTACCACTGTAATTTCGTCCGTCATTTTCATTCGTCCACCCTGCCCGTCCAGTTTCGTACGTCCGTCCATCTTCAAAATCCGTTCGTACGCCTAGGCCACGTCGCCTTATGGGCCTGCAAGGCTGTGGGCCTGCATGCACGCGTCTCGCGTTTGTCTGCCCCACCCGGGTTTCGTGTGTGTATTCGCGATAACATAGTCCCACCTCAATTGCTTGCATGGCATCTTATCAATTTATATACATAGGAATATTGCGAAGGACAGAAAGACATAGGGACTGCAACCCGACACGGGGAAAGAATCAAATCGAGAAAAGAACAACATATGAATCAACCCGAGGCCTAGGAATCCTACAAGGAAGGAGGACGGAACGACGGACGTGGCGGCGCGGCATGATTTGGACGGCGCGACGGCTTTTGCCCTATTTCGAATACAAATGCAATAATATAAATTTTGTAACAAATTCTTTCTATTTTGTTAGTCTTATAGTGTGTCAAAGTTTAACACAAAATACGATGGGGCCCAATAAACCCGGACGGAGGTAGTAGCACAACACTAAAACCGATTATGTATATTTTCTTTTTTTTCTCTATTTCCACTTATGTACAAAAATCGTAAATAAGGATCTGGCAGGAATAAAGAAGGGTGTCTGATGTTGCTTTTCTCACATTGCAATGCACGGGCCATGTGTTAGTTAAACCAATGCAAAGTTATTCTAAAACCGGTCATCTGTCTTCCTCACGAATTTTTCAATGAAAACAACAAATAATTTACAAGATAGCAAAAGGACATGTGAAAGGGAAAACACAACGCACCCAGTAGTAAGAGTTTAATTAAAGTCCGGGACAAGCTAGGAAGAGAATTTGCGACACCCACATGCAGGGGCACCAAGCCTCTCCAATTTAAATACGTTTTGATGTGTTTTTAAAAATACTATTAAGTTTCAAAACTTAGTACGAGCGACCGACGAAATCACAACTTTAGTACCTACGACTGAAAAAGCATGTTTCAAGTCTCAACTCTGAAGCTTGATATACTAGTAGAATGCCCGTGCGTTGCCACAGGCTGTTAATTTATTCTTTTTGATTACGCATATAACGTACAACCTCCGTCAAGAAAAAATTGTTGGAGAAATAGATAAAAATGGATGTATCTAGAATTAAAATACGTCTAGACACACCAATTTCTCTGACAAGTATTTTTGGACAGAAAAATTATATCATATTTTGCATGCATAGAAATGATAGCGTATAACAATTGGAAAATAACTAAAATCCACTTCACCTACAAGGTAACTTGATGATATACACAGAGAGACATGATGCGCTTAAGATATTATATATTACAAACTAAGATTTACTTACAAGGTAGGAATGTTGTCTTTAGGTTTGTGTGCACGGTACTTCGACAAGTATAATAAAAATCTATTGTATAATTAAGACAAGCAAACAAGCCATCACATTCATCCACACAGATTAAATTATCTTGACCGTAAACTTTAACTTTCATATAGGGTTCACGGGCACCCATGAGCTCCTTTGTATTTTCCCATCAAGTACACCACGGCATTTTCCTTCTCCATTGTTCGCCTGCACGATCAGCCACTATTTTGCACAATTGTAACATCACATGATGCAACATAATGAAGGAAGGTAAACCTAGAAAAGACACGGCAGGCAACCTTCATATATTATTGATAGATAAAATAGTTTCATTTAGAAACAAAATAATTTCATAATCAATACATGCCCGTGATATTATAATACATAAACATGTTCAAAATGACCCTAGAACAAATAAAGGGACCTTTCTATACATAGAGAATGATATTTCTCGTACATTCGTCGCCCACGCCGCCGTCCTCGGCTCCTCGCGGGCATGCAGCACGCACCCCCCGACCGTAGAACGTTACGACTGATCACCGCATAGCCAGAGTCAGCTAGCGCCTCCCCCGGCTGAACTCCTTCGACGCCGCCGTGCATGCCGTCATCCCCCGCCCCGTGGCCTCGCATCGTTCGTACCAGCATATCACGACCTATCATGCCGTCATCCCTTCGCTCCCTCCACCTATCACGACCCAGCACCGATTAAATCGTCGTCTTCCACCCTGCCACCGCGACCAACACCATATCGAATTTGCTCACTACCACTACCCAGCACTCAGCAAGCACACATAGTCTCTGTAGATATATATAGGTTGCCAGACTCAGTGCCAGTGCAAACATCAGTCAGTCCGACAACGGACCACTCCCTCGCGCCTTTAGAAAGCCACGTACGTACGCACCGTCGATCGACCTTGATTGATTACTCCCTCGGCCCCGGCCGGTCATGCGGAGCTCCGTGCACGTCCCAGCCGCGGTGGAGGCGCTGCTGGGCCACCCGGTGGCGGCACTGTCGGAGAGGCCGGCGCCGCGGCTGTCGCGGCTGCTGGTGAACGTGACGGTGGAGCGGAGCCTGTGGCCGGTGCATGTGGTGCTGGGCGCCGACGCTAAGGTGGCCGACCTGGCGCGTGCCACGGTCGACGCCTATGCCGCCGAGGGTCGCAGGCCGCCGCTCCCGGCCGAGGACGGCGCAATCGACAAGGCCGCACGGTTCTTGTTGCACCTCTCCAAATACGCCCTCGACGGTAAGTAAGATCCAGAGGCCGCGTTGCGTATGCCTTCCTTCCAGTTCCTCCTTTAAACCTCCCCGGCCGCGCGCCTGAATTGATCAAGATTCCGTTGATGCAGCTCTGGACCCGGAGGCGAAGGTGGTGGACTTGGGCTCTCGCAACTTCTTCCTCTGCGCCCCCAGGTCGACGCTGAGATCAGATCATCATCTGCTTCTTCGCTCATCGCTGACATGTCTTATGTCTGAAGGAAAGTAGCGTGTGCCCTGTAAAACGAGTTGGCATATCGGCATGTGTCCAGTATATACAACTGAAGTTCGATCCTTCTTTGGTTGATCCGTCTGTCAGATCCTCTGGATCAATGTGTACGTAGTGTTACCTTAGGTACGTACAGTTCGGCCAAGGAACGATACATGTAGATACATGTCCGTTTTATTATACGAGCTCGAGATATGTACCTTGCGACGCTGTATGTAGTATATAGCTGCAAGTTGCAACGTATATGTATATGTACCTAGTGCCATGAGGGACCATCTTGTCCGTGAGGCACACGAAACTGAAGTATGTAATCTGTGCTGTTGATTATGTTTTGTGTTTCTTCTGAATTCTGACGACATCATTCAGCATAACAAGGACTTGTGACAGATTGGGGTGTAATCTCTGTGGTCTGTACCTGTCGTGGTACCAGTGACAGGGGCTATCTTCATGCTGAGTACTTGCTGGGCAGATGATGCTACGTTTGTGGACTAACCGAATGC